AGCAGTACATTTGTTCTTGGTTCGCTAGAAAAAAATATATATCTGTCTGAATGGAAATTATTTAAGCAGATACACGAATGAAAGGAACACAAACACCTACTTAGCATACAAAGACTAGACTTAATATTAACAAAGTATTAATAGATGTGTGGTCAGCATTGATCTTGAAATAAATATATAATGTGTACTTCTATTCTTCTTTGTATGCACATACTTTGTTTTTATTTTTAATTCACAGTACAAACAATTACCCTCAATTCGGTAAGATGTAATGGTTAGATAGTAAATATATATAAAATTAAAAACAAGAGAGGAGAAAACACCTATGGTAGCCATCAAACTCATTTTCTTTTGATGGTTCTCTAGTACCTGAAAAGAAACCCAAGAAATATAAAAAGTCAACCGGAAAAGAAGAGTAAAAAAAAATCCTATGGTTTTTTTTTTTCAGTACTCTCCAATAATGCTAAAATGTCTTTAATTAATACCTAAGTTATTATCAACTTCACTGTCACTGCGTAGGAGATCTCTCGGCTCTTCAGTCGGCAGGAAGATTCGAGGGATTCTTCGGGATGAGAGTTTTTCTATGTTCTGATTTATGGAGGTTGGAAGGGTTTCGTTAAACTTATGGTAATATTTAAGACTGTATATGCAGTTACATTCAATACATAAAATTGAACCTCAAGGAATTTTGTAAGATTAAGGATTGGGCAGTTTGGATAAGGCAGATACTGGAATGTTTGGATGAACCCTACATCTCAGTCCGTAAGTTCAATCGTCCTAACTATGATGCTGTTAAGCAGTCTTTTATTTTCGAGAGGTAATTCGTACGTTCATCAAGAAGTCATGCAAGAACCCTGTTTGTCTCATAACTTTTTGACATTTCCTCGTTTCTTATTTGTTATGCATTGTTTTCTTAAATTAGCCCATTTTTTATAATTAAAAAGGTTGCATTTTAAAAAGATATGGTAGTTTTCTTTTTTATACATAACAGAACTTCTGAAAAATGTATATATTTTGAGGCAGCCTGCCTCTTCAGCATACAAAATTCCCCTCCCCCCAATATTTCTGGTGTTCATCAGTTTTTGAGAAGTAATGGTGCAATGAAGGAACTTATGTTAACCTCTTGAATAATTAATTTAATTTGATAATTAATTTTAATCTGGATTGAAGAAGTAATTTAATAGACTCAATCAAACATTTTAATAAGTACAACCCACCCAAAAATGGTTAGGAATAGCAATCAGTTTGTTTTATTTAAGTCAATTAAAATATGGAATACTTTTCATTCTAAATGCAAATTATATCAACATGCATCAAAGTGAAATAAACGTACAGGTCTCAAACACTTTTCGTAAATATCGGAAATTCAAGAGAAAGCTGCGAAAGCCACAGGTCAGTCATGAGCACAGTTCTTGAATTAATTTAAAAAATGGATATTATATATGTAATTTATTAATAAAATGAGAGTGCAGATTATAGGTAATCTGGTGGATTTTAACTTTTCTAATATTTCTGTAAATAAGGTACAACATACATCACAAACAAAAGTAGTGTGATGTATTTATCAAATTTTGTTATTGTATTTATTGATTCTTTACAACTGCGATTTTTAATCGTAACAAGCAAATGACATATGCACAGTGACAATATAGCATGTTACACATGATAGAAGTCACCCAGAAGAGACACTCCTTCACATTTGATTTATGAAAAAGGCAAATTAAATTGCACAGTTCAGCAGTGATTCACCATGTTCCCACTCTCCTCTAGAACTCAGAGGTTTGGTCATATCCTTATTAGGTCATATCCTGGGATTTTGGATTTCACCCTGAAGGGTTGTCACTCCTCCATGTACAGGGAGCTCTCCTAACCTGATGTGTGGCTGGATTGCTAGTAGCCCCTTAAAGCTAGGTGCTTGTGAGATCGTTGCTTCCCAACTAACGGGGTTAAGCTCCAACATTTCAGTCCCCAACTTGAATCTAGCCTAAAACTAATTAAATCCCATAATATACAGTCACACAAATAAATACATTCATACAATGCACTAATTCTGATTAGTTGGTGGAGTACTCTATATTCCCCTATCAACCTATATGCAATATTATCTAATCTAACAGGGTTGATGGGGTGTATTCTGCCTTCAATTCAAAACACACACTGCTAGATGCTGTTTCACCCTCACGCTAATAAATACACGCACTCAGACAAAGAACCTCAAAACACATAAACAAATATACAATAAAAAAAAAAGAATTCTAAAAAGCAAAACAGAGGCCAAGAAACTCTACTGTGCTAAATCCGACACCATGCCTACACAGTCTTTGTAAGGAGCCTAAGCACATACATATGTGTTCTAAAAACCATTCTTAATAAAATAGTACATAATGCTATACAATATCTTATATATATAATATATAAAAATAGTTAATTTTTAATTATATTATTTGGGGAAGGGTATCATGGGAATCAAACTAGGACCGCGGGGCGGGGTCTATGAGCTGATAGTATACCACACTAACCACGGTCCCAAAAGAAAAGGCTTGGGAGGTAACGGATCAATTCAATGCCTGATTGTTGGTGTAGACTTGAAGTTTAATAGATTTAACTCTCATTTAAATAAGGCAAATAATGTCAGGCAATAAATCTCTCTTTAGTGTCATTAAACTTTGAAAGAAAATTGTGTCAACAGTCATTTTACTGAAACTGACACAAACAATCTCTAATAGTTTCATATTAAACCAGACCAGACCTGTACTTTATAAGCTTATTTTTTAATATCAAGTCATATTCTTGAAACTAAAACAACACCCTCTCTAAAACTCTTTTGTGTGCAGGGATTTATTTCATATTGTGACTAATAATATTAGTTAAAATATGCAAGTGCTCTTACTACAAAGTAAAGAGATATTTTACATGCAGAAAAACACAAAAGTACATGTTGTACAGTTAGAGAAGGAAAGTGGGAACCAAACACATCTGCTGTTACAAGCAACACAGGTTGCTTTAGTTAATGAAAAGAACAGGTTGCTGTTATTGCTTATTGCTATTAACTACCTATTTATTATGAGCAAAAGGGCTAATTTTTTTTAGGTAGAATCAGTGATCCATCCATCGACAAACAATAGGAAAATAGGTCAACTTGAAAAACAAATTAATAATTGAGGTGACATTTTCTGGCCTGCAACAACTGCTTGAAATAACCGAATATTGACTGCATTCACCACACGTTTCACACACCTATGGTAGCAGTACATGTACCATAAGTGTCACCTACTCAGTTAAACTTGTTACACTTTCCAGCCAGTGCACTGCAGTGTTTGTTATGCTAAAATACTGCCCCCTTTTCTTGTAGGGTTTTCTATTAGTAGTCCTACTGCTATCAGTAGCAACTCAAGTCTGTATGATGACATTTCGAACCATTCTTTAAAATTAAAAACTTGCAAGGTCAAAATTGAATCAGGTTCTGTGGATTTTGCTAAGTGTAACATTTTATCAAGCCACAGCCTAATTAATTTGCTAATCATCACTACTGAAAAGTAATCCTCTATAATTGTAAAGAAATGCAGGAGCAAAAGTAATCTAACCTTTGAAAATTTGCACTAATATCATGATCAAGTGAACAAGTAATCCAACACTTGTATCAGCAGTACAAATAAAGACAGGTATATTACAAATATTTGTATTATTAGTGATTGTTTATGAAACAAAATTCCTTGTATTTTATACAATTTTTTTTGTCCTTTTGGCTTTACAACTTGTAAATTTGTACTTTTTTTATTAAGAAAATTGTACAAATTAAAAGCTACTACACTAATATTATTAGTATGTATCATTATTTAATAGACCTAGGTATGTAGAAAAAGAAAAGGCATATGTTTTGTGTTTTCAGTGATAAATTTTAAAGCTGGATTCTGGATTTGTTTTCCAATAAAAAAGCAAAAAACCAAGTCTTATTCTAGAAACGAAAAGAAATCCCATCACTAAAACTTTTTTTACACCTACACAAGAGGTGCATACACAGACAACTGTTGAATACTTTCGACTTTACAACTTGTACATTGTACATTTGTACTTTTTTAATATGAAACAGAATGGTACAAATTACAAGCTACTACACTAATAGTATTAGTTATTTTTTTATGAAAAAAGGCTTGGGTAGATAGCAAGGACAAAAGCTTCCAGTCATAAATTTTAAAGCTGGATTCTGGATTTGTTTTCAAACAAAAAAGCAACAAGTCAAGTCTTATTCTGGAAACTAAAAGAAATCCCATCACTAAAACTTTTCTTGACCCACCCACACACATGAACAAGTGGTGCCTGGATAGACAACTGTTGAATACTTTTGACTTTACAACTTGTACATTGTAAATTTGCACTTTTTAATATGAAACAGAATTGTACAAATTTGGGGATGGACAGACAACTGTTGAATACTTTTGACTTTACAATTTGTACATTGTAAATTTATACTTTTTTAAAATGAAACAGAAATTTCTAGCTACTACTAATAATATTAGTAAGTATTCCAGTATTCAGAGCCCAGGAATGTGCTTCCACAGACATCTGTTGAATGTATTCTGAAAATTCAAAACAAGAAGCAAGGAAGCAGCAGACCTGTGGACGACACTTATCCTGAATTACAATGTGTTATCTATTTAACAATTAATTAAATGAGCAAAATTTTTTTTTAGTATTCATTAATCAATAAGCATTTTTGTGAACAATACAGAAAGACTCATGAAAAACAAGACTTCATATTAAAGGACTTAAAATGAAAATCTTTATTGACAAAAATGTTTCTTCGGAGAGCAGAGAGCCTTCTAATCTAATCCTTTCCAAAGTAAACAGAATGATGCATTTAAACTTTTTTTTCTTTATCAATGTAGATAATTTTTTCCTCCCACTTTACAAACACCCCACCCCACGTAAAAAAGTGTCATTTCAGTAAAGTTTAAACCGTAAATACTGTAAAAGAAAAAACAAATAATTTATTCGCTTACCGAATTTGGCATTGTTCATATCAGGCGTAGAATGAAAAATTATTTCATCATTGTCCTCCAGTTTGTGAACACGTTGAACTTTCGACATCTGAAAACACAAACATTTCCAAACAAACAGAAAAATAAACAAATAAAGAAGTGTTGGAGATAAACGGATAAATCGAAAACGAGAGGGTGTGACTCCAAGGGGAGGAACGCCGAGGGTGCACCAGGGGAAAAAAAAGCCACGGAATGTTACAGGAAGTTTTTCTTAAATTAAACTAAAGCTGCCGTCTAGTCGGCAGTTTCAAGGAATTGGGTGGTGTTTAAAAAATTTTAAAGAAAAACTACTGGACTTTTTTTTTGAGGTCGGTGTCACCTTCCCAGAATGTAAACGATCTGAACCAGTTTTCGTATTTGAAGCAATCGGATATCTAGCGATCCGACTAGGTAAAATGTCGAGTCCGATATCCCAATAGGGGGTTGTAAAAATGGGTGGTTTTTTTTTTTCTTTTCCAGACGGGATTTAATAATTTGTGAGGGGGTTTAAATATAATAACCCGTGGGTAGGAGAAATGTCCGAAATGCGTTTCACATCGTAAATTAAATTCGTCTTTATTTAAACATTTAAAGAAGACAATTTAAAGAAAAAAAAAGTTGCCAAATTAATTTACGTATTTTCCTAGATGGTAAGTAAATTTATTGAACTTTAGAAGATATTTGTTTGGGGGGGGGGATGTAAGAATAGTTTTGAGATGTGTTTTGTGTAAATTAGAAATATCTTGTTAGTTAGATAAAAATCTGTTATTAACTTTATTGTTTTTTAGAGATTGAAAGTTATTGTTTTATGTCCGTAACTGGTAACGTGGGGAGGGGGACGAAACGCCAAGCACATTTTCACCCCAGCATTAGGTTAATTTCCAGGGCGAATATCGGCCAGCCGATATTCCAGGGGGTGAGATTTTCTCCTTTTCGATTTATTCTCCTTTTCTGGGAAATAAGGAATTAAAAGATTAAGGTCGGCACCCTCGGAAAGTGTATTACTTTCGGCAGTCCGGACTTCCTTATCTAAGGATTTTTCTCCCCCGAGATAAGGCCGAGGAGGACTGTTTGCCGAAGGAGTTTTCGAAAAGGAATAACACGGGATTCGAGGAAGTTGACGATTTTGGTACAGGTGGAAAAACAAGGCTCAGTCGGGGGTGAAAAATCAGTTAATTTTTTACTCACCATCTGGTTTTCCCACTCTGATGATTAAAAGAACGTTTTTCCCCGTGAAGACGCCCGAAAGCGATGCGAACCCAGGGAGAAACTACATATTTCCGAGTCGGGAAGCCGACATTGTCGAACCGACCCGTCCTTCTGTCGTGCACACTTGTCGCCTCTCGGATAACGATTTCCCGGACGTGGACGGCTACAACGGCATAACGTCACGACGAGGGCCTCCGGCGGCCTTTTACCGATCTCTGCTTCCTTTGGACGAAGTGAAAAACCTCGGGAGTCCGATTCGGCGAGTCGTTCCAACGCAAAGGCCGACGAGGCGACCGAACAAGCTTTCAAAAAGCTTTGCCGACGGCCATAAGTACAACGCGAGCAGCTGCTCGGCCCGACGGAAATCTGGGCCGCCAACGTTCAAATCCGGCCGGGGTCTCGGCGCTGTCCTGGGCCACCTCGGGGCCGGCCGGAGGGCGGAAATGTCGGAAAACTCGAGGAAAACCCGCCTGAGACGTTAAAACGGATTAGAGTCGCGGCCGGGCGGGTCGAAGGTGGAAAAAGACGCAGATAAACAGAGGGCCGAGGTGAACGCAGTGGGGGTCGGGAAACTCTGCGCTTCAGCCCCGCGACTCAAGAAAGCGCCACCGCCGACACCAAGAAGCGCGCAGAAATACAATAATCACATGGCGGAGAGGTTTTACGACTGTTACCGCCAGCCCCTCCACCTGTCTTTTCACTCCACCCCATCGTTCCGACACACCAGCATTTTTACTTTTATTAATTTTTTAATTACATCACGCACACTTTTCTCTATTTTATTAACGAAAAATTGGTGAAAAATTATTATCCGACTGCCCACTAAGCTACTATCCACATTTATAACATTTCCAAAGTTAAAATCCTGCCTTTTAACAAACTCATCCGAATTTAACCACCAGGTTAACATGTACAACTTTTTCAGATCCCGTTACGTTTTGAAAATATGCTAGGTCATAAAATAATTCTGTTTATAAAAACTTAGAATCATTCTTTTTGCACTTTTTCTGGATCCAGGTTGATAATTTCAATGAAAAAAAATTCAAAATATATTTTTTATTATACAGACCAGACAATTTTAAACAATTTAGTATGTAGTCGCTCCGACCTCTTGCATTTTTATGATTTTATGAGGTTCTAGGTATAAACTTAAAGAATATATTCTTTCTCCAGTTCTTTGTATATCTGGGCCAATGTAAAGACTGAACACCCTTTTTAATTGAATCGACCATTTTGAAAAGGGGCGGGCCATCTTCAACTTTTCAAAATTTTACAGGAGAAGCAAGAAACGTATAAAATATAGATTTTGTAGAATTGTTATGAATCTTTCCCCCCTACTAGCTCTTGTGGGATATAAACATGCTTAGACAGTTTTAACCTGTTCTGTTGCACATGAAAATACATTTTTCACAAGAGAGATGACCAATTTTCAAAATGAACTGGGTTTTCCAAACCACAAGACAAGTTTTTTTTTAGTATATTGGAATTCTTTTAAAACCCACAAATATATATTTCACACTTCACTCATATACACACAACACAAAACAACTGAAAATGGCATGATGGTGCTGGAAATCTTCATGAGAAAAGAACAGTTTTGGAATTCTTCAGGAGCTTCATCGTTCATGGTGGTGGGGCAAAAGTTGATCTTGTCTAAAACTTCTTGCATGTATCTGGTATGTATTGGTACAACTTTTATTAAAACTTCTATTTTTTTCTTAAACAATTATAAGAATTTTCTTGGTGTAAGCAGTATATTTGATGGATCCGGAATGAATGGTAAAGCGTCAGTTTGTGGTTTCGTCAGTTAGCAAAACTGCTCTTCTGCTATGGTATCTATGAAGAGTTCTCACAATCACAACTCCTGGTTCTTGACTTGGAAATAAAATAAATAAATTAAAAATTAATAAAAAGGACGGAGGGTAGTCTAGTGGATAAAGTCGAACATCAGTGTGCGGTTCATTTTGAAAATGGATCGTCTCCAAGAGATGACTCCTTTTCCAAATGAAAATTTCGTCTCAACTACAATACTGCGACAATGAGATTTGCATTTTCATAAGGAATTGCTGTGCTAACGTTCAGAGAATGTGAATCAATCAAAAAAGCATTTTGTGAAGAAATTTCAGATGGCCCCTTTTCAAATGACATTGTTTTGCATAAAATTACACAAGAAAAACTTTCTGACATGACATCCTCAATGTCCCCGAGTCAGAGTTCCCATCATAAAAACTCCTTTCTAAATACTAGCTCTGCTTTATTCTAGCTTATTCAGATTGAAAATGTTTTAGGTCCATTTTGTTCCTCTTGACAAGATTATTTACCGAAATATATTTAGACTGGTGAGGCTGTCTTCTGGATCATAAGTACACATCAAAAAGTCTTTTCCTTATTATATATAGACTGAAATTAATGTTCCTGACCTTTAATAGTGCCTTACTAGAACATCTGTTGATGTCAAATTTCGTCAAATAGTTAAAATCTGAGAGGCTTATTTATTTATTTACTTCACTAATCTGCCTGTTTTTATAGTGCTACATCAGAATTTAGCTAACACATTGTCAAGTTTTGATTTAAATTTGTGAACAAAACGCAACAGAAAAGTCCACGTATGAAAAAGTGGTCAACACTCAACGAAACCAATGTATACAATATGAAAATACTAACAAGACTGCACAAACACTCATACAGTAACTCATGAATCAATAGCAAAAAAAAAATTTCTCACATGAAAAAACGATTAATTAATTAAAAAAAAAAAAAAAAAAAAAACACTGCTGTAGAATATTGTTTTAAAGGATGAAATGTATGAGTTAAAACAGTAAGCACACTCAGATATTACACACAAACAAATAAATACACATAAACAATAGAAGTGGGGGATTGTGTCCATTGATATGGTAAATTATTTTAAAAAAATAACATCAACAAAAATAACAAATTCACAAAAAAATTACTGATTAGTTAATAAAAGTATATTTGACAGTATCCCACACAAAGTCATTCTTAGTAACACCGTTTCCCTGTTGGTTTTGGTAGGCAGCAACCCGGGTGGATTTTGCTGCACTGCCTAGGTCTAACGCAGATGGGCCCACAGAACAGGAATCTGAGCAGAACCGGGACTCCGATGAGTAAGGGGATTGAGTAAAATACAGTCCGGTGGAACGGGGGACAACTGGGGCATAGCTCTTCAAACTTCTTGGCCAGCTCCCCTTTGGCCGCACAAGAATTGTTCTGGTATTCAGTCGGTTTTTTGGCAGGAGTTTCCACTTTCTTAGACATTCTGAAAAAAAATATATTTGTAAAATTCTGTTAAATATTTAATAGCATGTACTATAATACTTGCTTTGATGTTATTGTGTGTTGTGGCTTTTGTAATGTTGAACTTGTCTTGCAGAGCCTGTAATGTAATTTTAAACAATGGTAACATAATTTGGGGAACAATTACTTTTGGTTCATTAAAACGCTAAACAATAAATTTATACAGATTCCTTCCCTTTAATGTTTTTCAATTTACAACATATTTTCATTCTGTAAAAGTACTCAAATTTTCTACAAACGCATTATTTAATTTTTCATGTTCAATTTACAATTTCAGACTTTTACATGTTTTTAAATATATTGAATGTGGAATAATGCTTTGGTGCGTTTAAGGCAAATGAATATAAATTGTGCACCATGTACAACGTTTTTTGAAATATTGGAAATTCAATATTTCCGTTGAAATATTGGAATATTCAAGCTCGTGTAAGCGTCACGGGGCAAATGTTTTTTAATGTTGAAGGGCTTGAAAAGGTCATCTGGTCCTCCCAAGGCATCTCACGCCCATCTCATTTCGTCCTTCTATTTTGAATTTTTAACGACTCTTTACGACGATGCCAAAAACCGTTGGTAAACGGGGGCCAACGGCCTTTTTCTTCTGGGGCCCGTTAAACAACTCACTACGATAGGCCTATTTTAGTAATACAAGCTACTTTTTCTCTCTCTCTCCTTTTTTTATGTGTGTGTGTGTGTGTGCGCGTGTGCGTGTGTGTAGAGAAATTGCTGATATCAAATAGATAATTTTTTTATTTCAAACGGTACGATGGGATTCTATGGAGTTTCTTTTCTCTTTGTATTGGCAGAGGGATAAAGTGACATTCACAGGGTGGTCAACTAGACTTAAAAAATAATTTCGACGACTCTAAAGTGGAGTAGAATGCCGTAAACCTCATGGACTTATCTCAATCCGTTCAAAAATTACGATTTTTTTAGTATTTATTAAAAAAAAAAAGTTTCTTTACATAAAACCTGAATTTTCTCCACCCTAACGTAACTTTTCTCAACATGACCCCCATTTTTAGATTTAGCACCGAATTTCCTTTTAGATTAGACCAAATTTGTTCTAGAAATTGCCAGTCCACATACAAAATAACTGCACATATGAGTGGTGATTAGTGACTGTTAATCGATAATTATTCAGAAATCGTGAGATGCCGTCTGGTGTGATGTAGGTTTCAGAAAAACATTTTCTTTATCGTACCAACGTTTCGATCTTTATTGAGATCATCTTCAGGGCTCAAAGTGTTTGTCTTCTGTGTAATTGTGCCATTCTTTCGTGTCGTGTTGAGAGTGCCTCTACACTGCCAACTGCACAAAGTTGAAATTGGTGAAATGGTAATTATAGATCGACTTCTTTAAACGGTAGCTCCCTTATATTACATTTTTAAAAAGTTAAACTTCATCGTTTTATGTAGCTTTACAACGGTCTATTCGAAAGCTAGATTATTTTGATTTTTTGATGGACAATTTCAGTTGGAAGTTGGGAAAACGTTATCCGGGACTTATGCAAGGAATTAAATGCATGACACAAGAGTAGTTCGGGCATGTAAATTAATAATTAGGAAATACATTCTGAAATAATTCATTAGTAAAAAACAAATTGTTCTTCAGAATAAAAACCCCAATCAACTTTTGGACCATGTATTTAATTCCCGGTGTACGTCCCGGACAACGTTTCTCAAAATTCCAAAAGAAGTCTATCCAAAATTAGAATAGAATAGAATATATTTTATTTTTTAAAGTAAGCTACATGATAGGACAAAAACTAAGTATTCTATAGCAATGGATTTTATCCCGTCTGCTGAAGTAGCTAGAGTTGTTCTCAAAAAAAAAAAAAAAAAAAAAAAAAAAAAGTTAATATGAAAAAGGTAATGTTGTTAGGTTGGCGAAAAAAGGTTACTTCGAAGTTTTTTTTTCAAAAATTACATTCCTTAACTAGATTATTCGGAAATCGTGAGATGCAGTCTGGTGTGACGTAGGTGTCAGAAAAACATTTTCTTAACGTGCCAACGTTCGATCTTTATTGAGATCATCTTCAGGGCCTGGGATTTACAAACATGGTTTAAATTTAACAAATACATGTAGGATGTGGAAAAAAGTGAATTTATACAATGCAAAAAATATTTTTTATATTCAATCAAAGTATTTCTATTCACTCAGTGTTTGTTTTCTGCGTAATTGTGCCATTCTTGCGTGTCGTGTTGAGAGTGCCAGTGAGACCACACATTCCTTAACTAGTTCGTACCTATACTTCCGAGCATGTCGGGCATGTCTTATAAGGGGCCTAACATAAATGCAAAAATCGCACCTCCCCAAGGGTAGTGCATTCCGTCATAAAATTAAATACATGTCGGGAGTGCGTGAATTGCATAAAGAGCGCTACCTCTTGTTGTCCTGCCGTCAGACAACCGCATTAGGCATAGCATTTCACATCGTGGACAGCTTGGTTTTCTAGTCAAACAGACCAAGCCGCTGACAAAGCCGTTCAATATCTTTGGTTGTGGTTGATAGACGAAACGAAAAACTCTTAGCAAATACGGTTAGTGTGTTTTGAAACAAGAGTTCCATTCGGTTAGATTTTCAAAGTTTAAAATGCATCTATGTATTTTTCGAATAAGACTTTCCCATGTGCGAACCAAGAGAGGTTGGAATTAAAAATTACTTCAGCCGTAATATTGGCGAGCCTACAATCTTGGGATCTTAAGGATTTGACTGTATAAGCAATGTGCTGTTTTGGAGTATAAACAAAAATAAGATCAGTAGTAGTTTCCAACTGCAGGAGATGGTTGTGTGTGGCTAACAGTAATGAAAAAAATTTCCTGATGAAGAAGCGTTGTACTTTCTTCAGCTCATCGAACATTTGGTAATCCCAGATCTGGCACCCATAACACAGAATTGATCTACAGACTGCACAGTACAATATTTTGGTACGACGTTTTGCATACTGAAAGGAGACCAAGGCATATTTTTATCTTTTTTGGGGTCGAGTTTATATATATATAATATTATTGTTACAACAATTACACAATAAATACACAAAAACCGACCACCTGGATTTTGCACAAAAAAATGACCAATTTTGGAAATGCACAGTTTCTCAGTATTTTAAGTCATAGCCCTGCGCTAGGTTTCACTTTTTAGAAAATTTTAAACGGAACAAGATGGCTTTTAAAATGTTTTCCTACCTTCAGTCATTCAACAGTAAATTCTAATATTCGTTAATTTTTGCACTTTTTAGGCAAATTTCCAAACTGACCTGTGGAGCTGTGGAAATCGTCCTGGAGCGGCAGCCCTTTAGCAATCGATAGGAAATTTTAATAAACTTTTAATTAGTCATCTTCCACTTTGACCGTTTTTTCAACAATTTTTGGGCAAAAATACGTGCGCGTGTAAAAAAAACCGATCACTCTCTCTCCGATCTAAATAGTATAGAAAACTTCGTTTCCAAAATAAATTGTTAAATGAGTGACAACTAGGCTTTAGGAAGGACTACTCGACGTTTGACTGCCCTTTTATCCTGTCGAACATCATTAACATGTTATTGGCAAGCCTAAATAGAAAGTGTATTGCTTTGTCGTTGACTTAAAAACAGCCTTCAACAGGGTGGACCGCAGGGCTTGATCATGAAGTTGAATGGCCTAGGAAGCCATTGTTTTCGGAAACATCATACAGCGTTAGGAATCAAAAGATCTCAGATTTATTTTCATGTTCTTTCTGGGGTAAGACAGGGATGTCTACTAAACCCAATTCTACTTTCCCTCCACCTGGACCTCCCTTCGGTTCTAAGCTAAGGAGTCAAACTAGGTAACACAAAAATAAACTTTCTAATTTAAGCAGATAACATTGTTTTACTGACAAACATTGCAGTAGACGTTCAAAAGAACATTAACATGTCTTTAATCAGTGGAACTTGCATGTTAATCTAATAAATAAAAATCATGGTTTTTAGAAGAGGACTTTAGAAGAGGAACTCCATTCGTCAGATAAATGGTACTTCCTCAGGGGAGAGAATCGAAATAAAATACAAAAATACGAAAATAAATGCAATACTTAGTAATTCACTACTCTTTCCTGGTATATATATACATATAATTGTATTGTTTTATCGTATAATTAAAAAACCCGAAAGGTGTTTAAGGAAATGGAAGGAGCATTTTTGTAGAACTCAACAGGCGTCATGTCTGGAGAAGTCGATCTAAAATTATGATTTTCCAAATTTCATGATGTTTGTGCTGTTATTGTGTCAGTAGACTGTCAATTTTTCGAACAAAAGTGGACTAATCCAAAAGTATATTCGGTGCCAAATCTAAAAATGGGGTCAAAAGTTAGTAGAGTGTGGGGGATAATTCAAGTTTTATGAAAAGAAACGCTAAAAAATTCGTAAATTTTGATGGTGGCCATGAGGTTTACGGCATTCTACTACAATTTAGATATACCGTAACCGATTTTTTTAGTGATGATTTATTTAGATTAAGTAGATATATAATGGAAATATTGAACATCCACTCATACTTTAGGAGAAATAAAAGAACAATAATTTTTTAGAATAGTCACGTATAGAAATAATTTTTTTATTAATGGGACATGATTGTTTAAGTTTAAAATTTCTTTTGGAAAAAGGTTACCAACGGATTTTGTTAATTTTATCGAAACAATATACTTTCAAATTTGAATGTAAACAAATTCCAATTGAATTTTTTAAACAGATGCATGTACTTTCCTATGGCCGAAGGCCAGCGTATCCGGCAGTCCGGTGATTATACCTCTGGCCTCCTGAGTTTCCGTTATAAAAGGACGAATTTATTCAACTAAAACAAACGTTTTTAAAATTCTACCGAGAAGTATTTTAGCGAATAATTGCCGTCCGTTCGTTTTGAAATGTGCATCGATTGAAAACTACTAGCACAGACCCACGCCGACCCGAGTCTTTTGATCGAACCCCTTAGATTTCACCTAAGATCACTTTCACAACTCACTAATCGGTACTATTTACAGCTTGATTCGAAATTGTACATAACAATAGAGAAACCGATCTATTGTAAAGCACTACTTGAAAATGCCCCATTCATACGAACACTTAGCGTGTCCAGCACCTAACATGGCAGACACGGCACATACACAATTCACTACAGACGCCGACTCAAACTAGAGGGTTGAATGCAAACGTACCTACATACTTGTTTAAACTTAAGCATGTTTAAATTTTTTGGCTGAAGAATTAACTGTGGTAGTAATTTTACTTGAAGGAGAAGGTAATAAATTGAATTGTGTGGAAGTAAAGCAAAAAAGGAAAAGATATGCTGAGCATCCAATGAATATAAAAAGGAAGAAAGAGAGTTCTGCATGCTCTACAAAGTGTAGACGATGATTTTTTTAAATAATTCAGAATAGTCACTAACTCAGGCAAAATTCATATAAGCATGTCAATGCTACGGACAGCACAGACACGCACCAGCACAGTTCAAATATTCTTAAACGATACTGGTCCTGTTGCTGGAGCGTGTCTATACGTACTCGTTCCGCTCACTTTATGTGGAAGTGAACTCTCCGATTTTTTGGGTGTCTTAGATGGTACGTGTGGACACTACATGTTGATACATATGAATGGTACTTAAGATTATACAAAATACATGGCTAGCACTCACCGAAATATTAGTAAATGTTTGAATCACCTGATTAGTTTTTCATCTGGATCGTCTAGTACTGAATGTTTATTTAAACTCCAACTGTTGAAAAAAAAAATCATTTCATGCGATGAGAACCTTTAATTCTTGTATGTATTGTTGTATTCGTTGTTTTCGCATCGGGGATTTTAAGCATTTGGGCCGTACTGCTTAACATTAACTGGCTGGTAGAGAACTTTTATTCTAGAAATGAAAATCTAAACGTTCTGTTTTGTTTAGTTTATTAAGTCCATAAACTTTGTTCGGATTTCATCACCATCGGGTACACGCGCTCTTCAGCAACAGGGGGGCTTCGGCGGTTTCGAACATCTTCTGCTTAACTTCTTCATTATAAAAGGGACCAGCGAAATGACAAACGGCAAGGCATATAAAACGTAGCAGCCCGTCGCCGGCTGATCCGGAAAACACTTCTTCACACTTTTCACCACGGATTTGGGCTCCTCCTTCGGCGGCATCTCCTTAAGAAGATTAAAAAAAAATATATTTATAGTAAACTTCCGACACTTATTTACTTATGTCAAAAATGTTAGCTCATTTAGATTCTACTCCTTCGTACAAAATAAATATCAGGTTTCGATTAAGTTTTGTACTGTAATTTATTTTATGGCGAACTTCTTTAACACGAATCTCAGTATAGCTACTTAAAAAGTCTTACCTCAAAATGGACTTAATTAGTTATTGTGTAAATGTGTAATGTTTCTTGCTCTTGGAGCTTGCTTGTGGAAATCTCAATGTTCTAGTGCTTTTTTTTTAATTAATGGAAAATCATATGATTAGTGAACATACTTTTTAAAAAACGAACTTCCATAATTGAAGCATTTGTTATTTAAAATTAATTGAATATTGGAGAGCTTTGACCTAGAGCCTGTTTTCACTCTTGTCGGCCGTATAGTCCGGCCGATCGCCGAAAGCAAGTAACGTTGGATTTAGATGGATTTATATAAGCTCAAATCCGCACATGTATGTACACGCAGAGTTAAGCCTATCACTTCTCGCAGTCCACCCGCAATTCCACCTTTTGTAATTTACAATAAATTACCGGCAGGACTCGAGAATTTCTCGAGATAGTTGGCAGTTCGTGGGCATACCGCGATCTGACCCGTCCAGCCACCGAGGTTGGTCACCGGGTGCTGTCAACAGCAAGGACAATTCAGGGCCTAACCCATGCAGTTATTAGAACCAATCCCATTCACATTCTTACTCATTCGTAAATGTATTGTTTCTTATGCATATACCATGCACTCAATACATTCACTCATAACACATTCTAGGTGTACACAACTATTATTACTATGTACAATAAAAAAAACCCTGTTTCCTCCACGATTCGGAACTCCAAGGACCCAGATACTCAATCAATCCTACACGCTCTCTGTATAGAACTTACGAGTTGCACCCTTCAATTAGGTAGGTCACTTCCAGCAACCATGCCGGACACATTTGCGGGCTTTCCTCAAATGTCCGTGTGTCCTTAATAAGTTGAGGATGACCCTTCTACGATTCAGGCCCTCCGACGCCACGTATCAACAGTGCTCTTGACCCGTGAGAGCTTCTCTCCCGACCCGGATCAGTGCATGAAATAATTTTAACACTTTTTTGGCTTCCCCTGCTGGCATTAGACACTTTTTTCAAAAATAAAATAACATTTTCTCAAAATGATGTTACACGTTAACTACACAATTATCAAGTTGCATTTTTTATTATACCAAAAATCGTGACTTTTCGTTAATACAGCTTTCTTAAGGCGACGTTTCACGTTATTCGACAGAATACACAAGTAACATTTTTTATGATACCAAAAATTATTACTTTTCGTTAATACCATTTTCTTAGGAAGACGTTTCACGTTATACTACCGAATTATCAAGTTAATTTTTTATTATACCAAAAATTATCACTTTTTTTTAATACCGTTTTCTTAGGATGACGTTTCACGTTATACTGCAGAATACTCAAGTTGCATTTTTTATTATACCAAAAATTGTGACTTTTCGTTAATACAGTTTTCTTAGGACGACGTTTCACGTTATACGACAGAATACTCAAGTAACTTTTTTTATGATACCAAAAATTATCACTTTTCGTTAATACCGTTTTCTTAGGGCGACGTGTCCCTTAGTACTAGAGAATGCTCAAGTTACATTTGTTATTATACCAAAAATTGTGACTTTTTGTTAATACCATTTTCTTAGGGCGACGTGTCCCTTAGTACTAGAGAATGCTCAAGTTACATTTGTTATTATACCAAAAATATTTTAAAATAAGATCATTTTTTTAATAAATAAGGCAAAGAAATTTTTAAAAAATTTACGCCTGTGTAATATTTAATGGTAGGCATTACATAGGCGGACAAATCGTTGTCTTCTGGCTTTCAGATGTTTTCTTGAAAGGGCGTTTCTTCCATCTGTGACATTCAAATACTAAAATGGAATGGGATAAGGCAGATGATGGTGAAAGGTATTGGGCAACGTCAGGAGTTGAAAACCCTTGAACGCCAACTGCCGATGCCGACCCAAGAAGGGATGGATGAATAGCAGTGATTTCCAGTACTCAGGTCTATTATTTCATTGTCTGAGAAGGGGGAAGAAGTCTTTCTGTCCCGACCCCGAGGTGAAAAGAGGGCCTGTTTTATTGCTACAGTACGCACTACGCACCAGGCTCGGCCTGCTTGGAAAATGTGCAAAAGGAAAAATGGATCTTGATTGCCATTAGGGGATTTTAAGACGAAAATGTCCGAATTGACGGAATTTTAAATAAAGTAAATAGATTGATGATAAATCACAATTATTATTAGGCCATTTACGTTTTAGTTGTCAATAGACTAAGTTACTTCTTTCAATTAATTATTCTTTTTATGTTCTTTGTTGGTTGAGATAAAAAAGGCAATGTCACGAGCTGGTTTCGAACCCACGACCTTCGAGGTTAAATACACCGCTACTCTACCACTTGAGGTTGTTCGTTCGAATCCCGCTCGTGACACTGTCTTTTATTTCAACAAAGACCTTACATAGAAAGAATAATTAATTGAAAAAATTATTATTAGGGTTGAACTTTGTAATTACGCAGTTTTTTTTAAATACTTTTTTTTATATTTTTTAATTTTTTTTTTAGAATAGAGCTTGTTAGAAAAATCGTCTACAACTAATGATTAATTATTTTGGGTCATATTGCACTAACTGCAAAATCATGCCAGAAAATAACGGTATTTAATAAATGATCAACATTGTCAACTAAATTGTATTTGACAGAGTATTTTAAAGATAGGATTTTAAAGGAAAATCTTCAATTAATGAATTGAATAAGTTAATGTTCAATACAATGTACACCAATCCAAATTCCAATTATATAATTTAGTATTAGAGTAACATTTTAGAGTTGAACAAAATCACTACTCAGAACTAAGAAAAATAAATGTGGGAGTGCCCCAGGGAAGCATACTAGGTCCAATACTTTACTCGCTACATACCCGTGATTTTCCAATGTTGTATAAATCATGTTAATGCCAATGGAAATCCAATGTTGTTTAAATAGCAACTTTAGCAGAAGACAGTAGTGGTATGTTAAAGTGGTATGTTTGGTATAATATCAGTAGGACTGAGTATCAACCATTCTTCCAAAATCCTCTTATGCCAAAAATTTGTTGGCTTTGCTGTATGGAGACGGGCAAGGTTAGGTTAATAATAAATTGAAAATGCTGTTTAATATTTGAAACGAAAACAGTGAACCGTAAAAAAAATATTAATTAAAAAAAGAGTTATTGTGATATTAACTAGGAAGTAAGGCCAAATAATTAATAAAATTTAAATAAATAGTACACAATATTTAAATACTCAAAAATACACATTATTATTAAAGGAACTAAAATACAAAACGATAACTTAATTTTCTTCAGGTGACACTATAATAAATGGAGAATAACTTTACAGACTAATGAGTGGGTGTTTAGTGTTAGATAATGATTATTTAGAGATCGTGAGATGCACGTGTGATGTGGGTTTAGAAAAATATTTTCTTTATCGTTCACAGACTAAATGAACCTTATCTTAAAATCTAAATAACTGTTCATTACAAGCTATACTTTCCTGATAACTAGGGTCCCCTGTCTCTTAGTCGATGAAGGAATTATTTCCTAAAGATCCAGGGATATCCGGATTGAGGCACACTGTCACACTTGTCTCTCCTAGTCCTCTGTACTGACTCTATCACCTACACTAATCCTAAAACTATCCTGGCTGTATTACTTGGAGAGTGACATACCGCTAACTTCAGTTCAGGAGGCACTATAATTTAGGAGGTATACCTGGTTAAATAATAATACTTTTTGTTACAATTTTGTTTTGTTCTTGTTAATTCTTCAAAAGGTGGGCTACAACATAAATAGTGTAATATTTAATGACCGTTAATTACTGATTATTTAAAGACCGTGAGATGCAATCTGGTGTGATGTAGGTTAGAAAAAGTTTTCTTTATCGTGCCAACGTTTCATCTTTATTTAGATCCTCTTCAGAGCCTGGGATTTATAAACATTGTTTAAATTATACAAATACATATAACATTTGGTTCTAATGGAGGGCAAGACATTCCAGCTTTCGCCACCTTGCCTGCATGTTCGTGGCCTTCAGCCCAATGTGTCCAAGTACCCAGACGACTACCACTGATTTACCAAAGCGCTGTTATTAATGTTATGCTGTTATGTTCCCTACTTTCACTTTATTTAAATTAATTGACTAAATCTAACTTTGTGACAAATAAATTCATAATTATTGTTAAGATTTTCTCTTTTTTTATTTCATTTTAATTGAGTGGCTGTACAGTATTAAATTGTTCACAGGATTACATTTAAATTAGCATTTTTTTTGTGGTTCACACGTGCCTTCGGAGCATGGTTTACATTTCTGGCAAGCTATTCTCTCGGTATCCACCTGTGGGCAAGCTTGTCTGGCACATGATGGATTCGAACAAGATACCTTTCTGACAATGAACGGGAGTACAAAAAGAAATGGCAACGAATATATGAAGTACCTTCGTAATTCACAATTCACACCACCACCTTTACCATTCTTTGCTGCACATTGTATTGGCGAAGGCTCTTCAGCCTGCTTCTGTTGCTCTTCAGCCTGCTTCTGTTGCTCTTCTTTCTTCTTTTCTTTACTATTGTCCTTTTTAAACCACCCCATCTAAAAACATAATCGATTGTAAATATATTATTAAAATATAATACTTTTAATTTGAAACTATCTGTCATGTTCTTTTTTCAATTTAAATATTTACAAATATATATGGGACATATTCCTTTGTTATTTCTCTCTCTCTCTCTCTCTCTCTCTTTCTCTCTCTCTCTCTCTCTCTCTCTCTTTTTCTTTCTTTCTCTCTCTCCCTTTGATTTACTATTGTTGCAGTACATATGTAATTCTAAGTGTGTCTGTTCTTAATTATTTATTGAACATATTTCTTTTCTTGATATGTTATGCCCTAATTTGAGTATTGAAACAGCTAAATTTAAATACAACAATGAAATAGCTATGTATAAAATTATTTTTGGGCTAGAGATAATTTTGAATGAAAGTGAAGTTTCCAAATTTTTAATTTGAAAGGCACAATCCAAAGTTAAATTAATGGTTTCAAACAGTACATCAAAAATCTATATTGTAAAAATAAACTATTATAGAATGCTACAATAATGTAAAAAAATTGAACATTACATTTTTCTAGTTTCCCCAACCCTCAGTTAATCGTCTTCTTACACTGGCTTTTTCCTGGAATCTTTACTGTTTCAGGGGGAGGGCAACAACACGGAGGCGGACAGCATTTGGATGGGCATTTTGCCATTTTCAACAGCCATGCGGCGTAAACCGCAGCTGGTATCGCATAGAAAAGCAATGACTGCCAAGGCTTGCAATCGGTACATTTTACCATCCTCTTTTCTTCCTTCTTTGCTTTAGCATCTTTCTCTAACTTTATCGACCTCTTCTCCTTCGTCTCGTCCCACTTACAGGGCTTGTCGCTTTTCGGAGGCATTGTCTACATAACAACAATACACAAATTTTAATCACATCCTTGAAATTCAAGTTTATATTTATTTTTATTGCCATTAGAGTGTTAAACTATCAATTCTTCACATTGTTTAATATTATTGAAGTAAATTAATAATTTTTTTAAATAAATTTTTTTGCTCTATTGTTGGAATGTAATAGTTTTTAATATTATTGTTTTATTAACAGTATATTGTAGTGAAGTAGAATATTTTAAATTCAGCAATTTTGAAATAAATATCAGATTATATGCATCATATATAAATTTTGCATTAGTAGAATTCAATTTCCTTTACAACATGATTTTATATTTTTAATTAAGAATTAAAATTTTTGTTGTATTTCATTTTATAACATGTCAGCTACAATGCTGCAAGACCATGACAAACAAATAAATAAATAAATGATCTATATTATACAGGGTGTTCCAGAGATTGTGCAAAAAAATCTTTGGGTTATAGTACACTTTATTTGCAACAACTTCCAACGTGTAGTCCCTACAACTATATCCCTGATGAGTTATGATTTTTTGTTAGTTTTTCCATGGAAACGATACCTTACTTGAGAATAACACAAATACCTATTAGGGCTACCACAGTTTTCGATCAGCATAAAATTCCTTTATACCACTTTTGCCTGAAATAATTTTCAATTCTATAATATACAGGGTGTTCCAGAGATTGTGCAAAAAAATCTTTGGGTGATAGTACACTTTATTTGCAACAACTTCCAACGTGTAGTCCCTAATAAAAGCTGAAATTTGGAAAATGCCTTAAAGTTTTAAGAAATAATGTATAATTAGGTATACCCTTATGTTTAATCCTAGGGATTGTTAAACTTCACAAAAAGTTCATTATTTATTAAGCTGTCAAATGGTATAAGAACATCCTTACCCCTCCTGTTTACAGTAGATTAGTCCAATTGTTGAAAAATGTACATGAGATTAATGATCACAGCTAAGGTGATGATGATACACAGAAGTGTTTGGTTTGCAAGTTTTATAATTTTATCCACAATAAATTGAAGGATTTACAAGCATTAAGCATTAAAATTATTTTTCAAAATGGTGACCTCGATGTTTGACCCACATCCGGACTTTTTCTCATTGCACTTACAGTTAGTCATGTGGACAAATTGGCTCTAATTTTATCAGATGCTTCGAGGATTTTAATCCTTAAATCTTCAATTCTGTTCACTATTGAACCATACAACTACACCCAAAAGTGTGTGTCTGGCTAACCAGCAATTTCCTACGTGGATTGGTACAAGAGGTGGCATCTTGTTTCCCTGATCGTACTGTCATGGATTTTCTATGTTTGTGGATTCCTTAAGGAGAAGGTGTACAGTTCAGTAGTAAATTCAGTGGTGTTTGAGTCCAAAACCGTGGTTGCCCTGATGATAGATATTTGAATTTTTCTCAAATAAGTAACGTTTCCATGGAAACAAAAATCGTAACTCTTGGGACTGAAGGTAGGTATAGGGACTATATGTTGGAAGTTGTTGCAAATGAGGTGAACTATCACCCAATTTTTTTCTCTCTTTATCTGGGACACCTATAAATTTTTCTAATAATGACATGCATAATCTTTTTTCCAAGTAAACACTCTAATTTCTTTATGCATTGATTTTATGTTTCCGTTAAAGGTTAAAATATATTTTTGCAAAGGCCTCAATTAATTATCATCATTGATAAACTTGTTTAAAAAATTAACTGGTTGAGATAAAAAATTTAACTTTTAAATCGAAATTCAACCATTTGTATAAATACTGTGCACTGGGATAGAGTATGCTGTTGTTTTAACCAAACATCCATTGTGCTCAGCTTGAAATATCTCTCTCATGGTGTTATTTCTTTTTATTTTAAACAAACACTCTTAGTAAAACAAATTGTTTGAAACCATTAATTTCCCTCCCCCCATCCTAATGACTAATTTCAACTTGGAAAATTTAAAAACTTACAGTTTTTGTTTGTGTGATGTGTTAACCTCGTACTTGTTCAAATTTCTTGCATAGTTTGAGCTTTTGTGTATAGTTGGTATCACCAACACATGTTAGAAATTATGTTAAAACACATGATTATTTTCTTATAGACTCAAGTGTTCTAAACACAAATTACATCTTTGGGATAAGTGGTCAGCATAATACTCTCGGCTTGTGTTCTGCAGTTGTGGGTTTGATTCCCACCGTTGCCCCTGGCCCTTTTTTTATGATACCCTTCCCCCATGAATATAATAAAAACTCTCTTCTTTTTAACTTGCACTCTTTAGTATTGAAAGATTAGGCCATTAACCCCCCCCCCCATCTTTCACATCCTCCAAGTGATACATGAATTAAATGAAATCGACCATCCAAATTATAATGGATTAAAATCAATTGGCTTTTGTATAAACAGGTCAGGAACATACAGTGAACTGTAGAAGGATTTTCACTACCTTTCTAGAACAAGACTGTAGATAGTGTCAAATTAAGAACTCTGCAGGAAAAAAAGGGATACTCATACAAAAGGATATTTCTACTGGTTGGCACATGATACTTGCTAGCAGAGTGCATAAAAATTTTACTTTTTTTTTTCTTTCTGTAGAAAACACGGTAATGAGTGAAGTGCTAGAAATAGAAATATATTTATAAAAAGAAACTTTTTTTTCACAATAGGGCTTGGCCCTTTACAGTGAGTAGAAAAATATCAAATAACTGAATAACAAAAAAATTATAAAAGACAATGCAAGAAATAATAATTAATGATTATTTGGAGATCGTGAGATGCGGTCTGGTGTTACATAGGTTTTAGAAAAACATTTTCTTTATCGAGATTTTTTTCTTTGATCTTTATTGAGATCATCTTCAGGGCCTGGGATTTATAAACATTGTTTAATTAATACAAATACATGTAGGATGTCAAAAAAGTGAATTTATACAATGCTAGAAATTTTAGCATTGTATAAATTCACATTTTTCACAACCTACATGTATTTGCATAACCTAAACAATTTGCAAAAAAGTTGAAAGCTGACTGCTCGAAGGGGATGGGCTGACCTAATATACCGCAGGAGGGAAATCGACAGACACACCCCAACAATGAATCATTCATAGATTTGGATCTATTATGCAAGCTTTTTAAAATATTTAAACTACAGGAAGAATTAAAATCGAATTTAATGAATGAGTGTGATGGGCAGAGCTTATTTTTTTATTTTAAAAAAGAAAATAAGAGATCGGAGTTTAAGGTAATCAAATAAATTAATACCCAGAATGAACTTGTCATGTGTTGAGATGTACTCTCTTCTTCATAAACTTAATACAAATCTTGTGAAATTATTGAACTTCTAATCTTTTCTAATAGAAGTGTGATTAAGTGAAACAGTATAAGCAAGATAGTACTGCGATAGGTAAAAAATGGTAAAATAATAGTTTTGACTAGTGTAAGTTTTAGTGTCAGAGAGATAAATTTATATTTCCAAAGCGAATTTAAAGTCCCATGCATTCTAGCAACAAAGCCTAAATAATCCCAAAATAATCTGGCATTAAAATTCATACAAAGATTTTTTTAACCTGGATAAAGAAGGGTATTAGAGAGCCAACAAGAGAAATGCAAAGAAAATCCTCGGTTGGCAGATGTGTATTGTAAATAATTATCGATTGGGATTTGAGTAGGTTAAGTTTGAGACCATTGATTGAAGCACAATTAACCAAGCTAGAAGGGAGTGGAATCAGGGATTAAATGAGGGGGATATTATGTACAAAATTTTGGTATAGTCAGCACACAGGAAAAAATTTGTTATTTAAACAAGAAGGTAGGTTGTAAATAAAAATGTAAAACAATAAGGGTCCTAAAATTGCACCTTTAGGAATGGCATACTTAACAAGAAAATTTGTTTGATTCGTGAGGAGTGGTCAAAAATGAGATAGTTTAGAAAAAACACTTTTTTAATATATTTATTTTGTTTGCCGACATTTTGATCTTTATTCAGGTCAACTTCAGGGTATAATGTGTGGTGCTATTCTTGTGGTGTCATATTGGTGTTGTGTGAGAATGTTATGTTTGTCACAGTTGAAATTGTGTAAACTATAGCAAAAGAGAAATAAGTATATATTTTTTGCCAATAAAAAATTGTTTTACAATTCCTTTAGTTTTTGTCTTGTCTTGAATCACTTAAGTATTACAAAAAAATAATTTTCACTACTTATTACAGCAAAATTTATTACTATTTTTGGAGTGCTAGTTCAAAATTTAAATTTTCACTTAGGTCTGTGAGCTGATGAACCTGTTGAATATAAGAATGCATATTGAGACGGAACAAATACCCGACTTCTGTTTTAATTTTTTATTCGTTGAGATCGATTTCAGGGGCATCCATCTCCTCTCTTTGTGTGATGTGAAGCTGAAATTTGGTCATTTCTGATAATTTCAGCCTACTTTTCATAAAGTCATGGAAAACCTTCACTCCAATTCTCCTCTCTATTTCTGTTTCTATTCTCATTAAGGTATTTGGTAGTTCTTCATTTAAACATCAAGGAAATAAGATTAATAAAAGAGTCACATTCTGTGGTCATTAATACAGATTAAAAATTATAATAGAACAATTCAAAATATAAAATAAAGACTGCTAATAACAAGTTTATTTGTGTGTTTCTGGTCCCACTACGTCGAGCAGAAGTCTTTCCAATTTCATTCTGTTTTTAAGTGTTGATTCCAGGCTGTTGATTACTTACAATCAAAGTTAATCTTTGGCACTTTTCTCTCTTTGTATTCCGGGCGGAATTCTTCAGGCAATAGGATCGTCGGGTCTAGCACCATGATCGAAGGAGATATGCTGCATATGCTGATTTCGCTTACATCGCTCGCCTTTGACCTCGTTTCAGCCCTGTAAGATCCAGTATAAGTTAATTGAATTTTCACTTTCAATTCTAAAAGACTCACCTATCGCTGATTTTATCAACCGTTATCTCTGGCAGAATGATGCTCCTATCAGACAATAATCTCTCGGCTATAGGTGCGGCATCGTAGTAATTTTTAACGAATTCTGCCAATTGCTGGAGTACGCTCTTGTTTCGTTCTTGCTCAAGACGTAATTCGATATCTCTCTGAAACAATTTTATTTTATTTATGCATGAGCTATTTTGTTGGTAAAACGAAACTCACAAGAGCCATTTTCTTTAAACTAATTGGTTCTTTTGTCGCTTTCACTTCTGTCATTAGTCTTTTCATGATTTTACTCGCTCTCGCTAATTTAAGTTGTTTCTTTGCCAAATCTTTTGTCAGCACCTCAACTTGTCCCTCTCTTGTTTTCCACTCTTCTTGCATTTCCATTATGCAATTCTGGTACATTTGTATACCACTTTGCAATTTCTAAGAACAAACAAAAATTGTTTATTCTGATTTTTTGTTTGTTTTAAATGTTTAATCACCTTGATTTCAACTTTGATGTTGTTCATATCAGATGTATTGGCTTTGCACTGTTGATTCACCTCGTGGCATTTTGCTTCTAGATTGTAATATTCTTGCATTTCTGGACCTTTGGATTAGTAATACTTTAACATTTTGAAAAATCAAATGAAAAACTATTAAAATTGAACTGTAAAACTTTTTGATTAAAACTTTAAACTTATTTATTTAATGTAATTTTATTTGACTTTCTGATATTTTTACTTACAAGGATACTGGACTAATAAATTATAAATTCTACCATAATTTTTTATAATGATTATACCCATACACATTAGCATATAGTTGGCCTTCTACACCTAGTTCACAATTATATAATTTGAACCAATATATTCGTTTTAGGCTGTTAGTACTTTTTAAAAATTAAACCCAAATCTACTTCTCAGAAAGCAAAATAAACCATCATTACGTGGATGGATTCAGATATTTCAAGTTACATAAAAACCCATTTTGACGAAAAGAGGTTATTTATCAGGACCTACCATCAAGATCTACAGTTTCAAGGTTTGTCTTGTAGTTTTCATTTGTGAGACTGACAACTCTGAGCGTGTTTTCCATCGCTTGAATTTCCTTTTCTGTTTTATTTATCTTCGCTTCTAGGTCATCACCCATTTCTTGCAACTGATGTTTTTCTTGAGCTAACTAGAAACATTTTTCGATTATAGAACATTCATTTATCACTTATAAATCGGGAAAGACTGTGAGGATACTTTGATATGTGTAAGTCGTATGGAATTTTTTTAATGACCTTATGTCCTTGCATATTAGCTAGAGGCAGAGTATTGTAGTATTGTGTGGTGATTAGTGACTGTAAATCGATATTTATTTAGAAATTGTGAGATGCGGTCTGGTATGTATTGTAGTATGTAAAATTATATTTATTTATTGGGGTAAGGGTAGTGTGAAAAACGACCAGGGGTGGGAATTTAACCGAAGATTTATAAACAGAGAGTCTATTATGTTGACCACTTGGCTACTTCAGTCCCCTTCCAATTTTTTATTTAAAAAAAATTGATTATGATTGAAGGTTTGATGATAATCAAACAAAAGTATGCTGTAGTACCCGCACATACCAAATGTTTCAAATTATTGCAAAATATACCTTGATCTTAAAATAAGATACTGATTGTCTTTCTCCACAATCATCCTTTCCAAGCAGATCCATCGTTATCTCAAACCTGAAAGAAATCAGTTTAATTTTTTCTAATATCCATTATGACAAATTAATTAATTACCTCTTTTGAATTTGTTTTATTCTGAGATTGACCTGTTCTATGTTCTTTTTAAGGACTGATCGCTCATCCAGCAACCCCTTCTTTTTCATAAGCATTTCATCTTTTTGACTTTTGATTTCACAATTTCTCTCTTGCATACCCTGCAAAATATTGTCCTTTCTCAATCTGTTGTACTATTTGGACATCAGTATTTCATTTAGTTGAAATTAATCACCGTGTCTAAAATGATCCTTTGTTTTTCCAACATACAAAGTTCATTTTGGAGTTTTTGGTTGTTTTCCTTTGCCAAACTTGCCTGCATCTTGACCACATTAAGGTCGATTAATTTACCGTTGTATTCCTCCGTTACGTCGTTAACCACTTTTTTACCACAGGTCAGGACGAGTTTCAAATTAGTCCCTTGTTCAACGAGAGTGTCCAGTTCCTTTTTCCCTTCATTTATTATTGCAGTTAGTTCGACCAAATCTTTCTGAAAATGAATTGGATATTTAATATTACATTTAAGTAATATGTAATTAATTTTATCCTTTAATACCTTCAATATTCTTATTTGGAATTTATAGTTGCCGATTTCATTTTTGAAATCCGATATGTCTTTTTCAATTTTGATCCCTTCATCTCTCAATTTGTCGTCCAGCTCGTCACATAAAGCTTCACCTACCAATTGGGTATACTTTTCACTGAGCACTTCTAGTGCAAGTTCCTTGAAATTAATAAAACATTATTTATATATCTGAAAAATAATATTGTTAATATCGGTTTATAACAGATGGTCTACCTTGCTGAACAAATTGTCTTCATATTCATTGTATTCATTTTGAAGAGTTTTTATTTGTTTTTCGACTTCTCGTTTCTCCTGTCGAATGCAATTAAGTTGTTGATTCTGAACGAGCAGCTTATTTTTTAGACCACTGAGATCTTGCCTCAATTTGTAAATCAATATTTGCAACCTATCGAATTCCTTTGATTCTTCTATTAGCACTTTTTCTCCCATCTGAAAAGAAATCAAAAGTAGTGCAAAAAGAATAAATTTCTTTAACTTTTTTCTGTAATACAATCACCTCATAAATATCTTCAGTATTTTTCGTCTGCTGTTCAATCGTTAAACTGTCGACATTCAGGGTGTCTAGTTTTATTTGAAGCTCCAGATTGGAATGAACCAAGTTGTTTATTTTTTGTTCGAGGGCTAAAAGGGTTTGAATTTTTACCAAATTAAAATACTTCCATAAAAAACACCAATTTAAACTCTCACCTTTCACTGAATTCTGTAATTCAGTGTTTTGTGCTTTTTGAAGATTGACTTTCGACGAAGAATCCAAAATGTACCTTTGAAGAGTATTCGTCTAAAAATGTTTTAATTACGGGCAAACTTTTCATTAAACTTTTAAACAGTCATAATACTTTTCCAGTTAATTCGGCTATAGTTTTATCGAGGAGTTCGGTGACGTTTTTCCCCTTCAAAAGTGAAGCTTTGAATTTTTCAATGTCGACTTCATGTTTTGCATTATCCTTTTGGAGAGTTAGAAGCAGTTTACGTTTTTCATGAAGTTCAAAGTATTTTTCCCTAGCCATTGTCCTTATTTTGTCAACCACCTACTGACAACATTTAAATCAGTTTTTAGTTCAAATATGCAATCGGGTTGTTTTGAGTATTTACTTGCCGCATAACAATTTTTAACTAAATGAGACCTCCCTTTAAGTGTGTTATTCATATCATGCCATTGGTGAAGTAATTTATTTTGTTCATGTGTCACCTAAAAATAATAATTCATAATAATTTACTTGTTTTAAATGTGCCCATAATTATAATTGAAAATAAATTACTAACTTCTCTGAAGAGTTTACCGAATTGGCCAAGTTGTGTTTCCATATTCTGAAGGATGTTTATGTCTCTTTCCTCTGTCATTTTTTGTTGACCATAATCAAATTCAAGCATCTGCCTTCTCATGTCTAAATCCTTGAGTTAGACAAATTTCAATTTAAGAACTAAAGTTTAAATCTTCGAGATAAATAAATCCATACGTTGAATTTTTCCTCGTCTTGGAGAGTCAGCTCAGTAAGCATCGACCGCGTTCTGTCCTCTTTTGCAAGTTCTTCCTCCCACGAAAACAGAGCCTCTTCTTCCCATGCTAGGATATCTTTCAGCTCTTTTACCTTGACACTGTAATTTGCAATTTCCTCCTGGAAAAAAAATTAAGTAAATAAAGTTTTCTATCATTGATATTTTGACCATGCCTTCAGTTTCAGAGAATTAGCTTTGTAAAGCTCGAAGTCTTTTTGTCTTTCTTTTTTCTCTATCTGAACCGTATTCGCCTTGCTTTCTATATCCCTCATTATGGTGATTTCTGAATCAAAATTTTTCCTCAATGCACACAGAAGTTCCTAGAAGCACATTTAAACACAAGAAGAGAGAGTTAAAAAAATCTTATTCATCTTGCAATCTAGCTTTAATAATATTTATATTGCCTGGTTGTTATTTTTCTCTTGTAGTAATTTCTTTTCATGTTTCCGCAATGCATTTAGCCTATCATTAGCTAATTCATATTTCACTATGGTCTCTGCTTTCTGCTTGATAAGTTCTTCCACCTAGACATCCAAAACATAGTTAAAATCTCTTTCTGTTCAGTAAGTTTTTATTATCAAATCCAACTAATAATTGAGTGTTGTGGTCAAACTGCTTAATCTACTTTTTAAATTCTATTTGAATTTAAAATTTCATGGGCTATGCTATGAATTCAAACCAGAACTGCTAGTAGCATTTATACATTTAATTGTTTATTAATTTTCTATTATAGTGAATCATTCAATTTTTGAAATAATTACATAAAATGTTTGCCAGTGTAAAAAAATTAGTTTATTTACATTTTTAAGCATTGCAGCACAGTCATAATGTGTCAATATTATCATATAGCTTTTTACAACACAACATTGTTGCAAAAAGAAATACAGTGAATATATTGTAAATTTATTCAGCTATAATTTCTTAGGGAATGTTTTTACATTATCAAGCATATTGCAACATGAACAATACTATTCTGTACATGCCAATAACTCTGAAGAGTATTTTTTTGAAACAATTGTTTTTATTATTTGGGATATAAGGCTATTTTTTTGGTTTATAGAAGTGCAAAATGGCTATATTTTAAATATCAATTGGTCCCCTGTTCCGATTGTATTGCATAGACTGCCTAGTCATTTATAAAAATTTCAAATTGCTTATGGTATGACTAGACTCTTTATTAAGAGTCTAGGCCACATCATACATTTCAATATGGCACTAGGCATTTGGTCAAAAATGAAATTATTTATTTCGTACAGTCGAAACATAATATTATTCGTTCATGCATTTTATTTTTTTCTTACAACAAATACAGCAGTTACTTTTACATTTTTTGTCCTAAGACTTACAATTGCATTTCGTAAAGCCCTGTCCATTAAACAAAGAGGGGAAAAACTGCTTCCCTCTACAGTATGTATAACAGAAAGTACTGAACCTGGGAATTTGACGTGTTGGTTGTTTTGGCAATCTGAAGCTCTCGAATCTGATAATTTAAGACATCTTAAGTTTACAGTTTTTTTTTAATGATGCGCATCTAACTCGAGATAAAAACATTCGAGCCGAGAAGCCATTGTGATACTGGAGTGAAAGTAACAACAGAAAACTGACAAAAGAACAAAAGAAAAGAATTACAGCTATGTTGTGTTGTTTGAACAACTGACTAAACAGTGCCTGAAGTTTAATTAATGGACTAGGTGTTTGATTAAGGGTCTAGACATTTGTGCAAATGTTCAGTCGTATAGACAAATGATTGTATTTTAACTGTCTACCTAGTCATTTCATTAAATAACTAAACTTGACTATTTTCCTGTGATATATATTATATAACTATCTATTATCTTGTGTTTCTTTTTTGTGTATATTGAAAGTGAACGTATTTATTAGTGTGAATGTGTAGTGTGGGAAGGTAGGTAGAATATTGAGTACCCCATGGACCTTCAATTTGATTAGATATATCCAATATCTGGGTCCTCTCTTCCATTCTTGGAGGAAACTAGGTGTCCCTAGTGTTTGTGGAGAGTGAATGTATTTATTGGCGTGAGTGTTTAGTGTGAGGGGGTTGATAATGGAATATTGAGTACTCAATTAGATTAATATGTATTGAAGGGGATGGAGGAATATCAAATACTCCATCACCCTGAGTGAATGGTATGTAAACAGGAAATAATGTATTTAAGAGTGAGTAGGTTTAGATTTAAAAACGGAATGTTTTGGGCCTAGCTGTTGGCATTCCCTGGAGCCTAATTTTGGCGGCAGGATGGATAAGGCTGAGGTCTGATACCGAGGTACATACATAGGTGATTCTCGAGAAGTGATTAGTTCAATTCTGTACAATTCTGTACATTACATGTAAATTAATAATAAAAAACCTTTATTAATTTATTATTCATTTCAAATGTGTTGATTTAGTACATTGTTCATAAAGTTAAAATGTAAAATATTTGAAGCTTTTTGGATGTTCTATGATATAATGATATAGTTAAAATAATAGATTTACATACTTATAACATTATACTATAAACAAATCTTTTTATTTATGAAAGAATGCTCAGCCAACTGTATATCATGTGTATTATTATTATTATTTTTTGAGCTGAATACGTTTATCACAATGAATTAAGTAGTAAAGATCAATATCATGGATTTAATATGACTAATATTTATTCAAGAGGCTGATTTATATCGGCCATTGGCAATAATTTTTAGATCTACAATCAGAAATTTAAAAAGATTCTAGATCAATTTGTTTTTTCCTTTTATCTCTCTCTTTCTCAAACGATCCTTCTTCTTTATCTAACCACCTTTTATTTCTAGTTTTTCATAGCTCTCTTACTTTCCATCTCACTCTCAGTGTATTTATTTTCAAATATTGCATTTGTACTGTATTTATTCTTGAAGTGTTTATTACTCAATGCGAGAAATTTAACAATATTTAAACATGCACCCTTTACATTGTAAAGTTTATAAGCTACAAATGTATAGCGTTCTGAGCATAAAATAAATATTGGCTTAGGCTGAAGCCATCAGCAGACACACTGTCCATCTCTATCTGTCTGTAAATCTATGTTTTATTTGTTTTTTAATGTTTTTGTCTACTGTTGAATGACTCTCTCTCTCTCTCTCTCTCTCTCTCTCTCTCTCTCACTCACTCACTCTCTCTCTCTCTCTCATCCATCTATCTATCTATCTCTCTCTATCTATCTACCTACCTACCTATCTATCTTTCTATCTATCTCTGTACACCATATACAGATCAATCAAGGCTTTTAATTTTTTCAAGGAAACAGTTTTTATGATACGTCTAGAATTTGGTTTAAGGTACGATACATTCATTTCTTAAGATTCTTTTACAGGAGAAGACTAAATTAATAACGGATTGTGAAAATGAAACGTCTTACTTTTAAATTATCTTTAATTAACGTGATGATTAACATAAAGCAATACAATCACGTATATTGTTTTATGGGAAAACCTGATGATGTGGTCTAAAAGCTCTTTTAATATTGTAACCAAAATTGTAGTTTTAATGACATTCTGTTGACTGTTGAAATTTCAAGAGTTTATAGTTTCATCCAGTCCTTTGCAGTATAAACAAAAAGTATAAAAAAAGTCACGTAAAATATTTGATAATAGTTTAATTGTTTAAAAAAAAAAAATTAGCCGTTAAAGTCTTTTTTCAGCACTAAGAGGCTAAAATCCAAATCTAAATTTCCAATGGTCAAAATACTTCATCAGGTAATCAATCTCATGTGTTTAAAAAAGCGTCCTGGCCGAAACAAAAATCCCAATCCGTTTTCAGGGTGACGAACCCTGAAATAAGACAGGAAAAGATTAACTGCTCTTATTAATCTCAAAATCCCTGTTGATATATTAGCCGATTTGATTTTTTTCCTTTTTTTTAGTTGGGTGCTAGTACAGTTTGTTTGTGAATGAACACATTTTTTAAGGGCGTAGTCAAAAAGTTCTTATTTTTTCCTTACATTTGCATATCCCTCTTTCTCTGCCGTGTTACCCACCTTCCGCTTTTCTACTTCTCGAAATGAACTGTGAACCTCTGTATTTGTATACCTTAAAATTGCACTATAGCTATATACTAAAAATATTGACCACGACTGAGGAAAGATACCCCAAAATTAAGGCCGAACAAATTATAAAAGAAAACTTGTACTGGTTTGAAGAATTAATAGACAAGGTAAATTGCACGTGATCAATGCTACACTTAGCTATGTGAAAATGTGTCCATTTGGAGAAGTACCTTAAACCAAATTCTAGACTCTCTAAAGTCGTATCATAAAAATTGTTTCCTTGAAAAAAATTGGAAGCAGTGATCTGTATATGACGTACAGAGAGGAAAGCTTTGATTTAAAAGGTAATAATTATATACAGTAAACGACCAGTAATGGAAGATGGAGGAGAAATTTTCAAGTAGCACATACTTCCAAATAGCGAGTCCTCAGAGTCATGCCTTCTTCGTCAACTTTGTAAATAAAGACATGTACCGTTTTGTATGTATTTGCCCTAGACTAATCGAATTTAGAATGGATTGGATGGGTGTAGAGGTGTTCGTGGCGAAGATTTGATCCGAACGAAAGAAAAGTGGAAGTGGGATATTAGAAATAGATAGATAGGCGAAAGAAAAAGAAATGGAGAGAGAGAGAGAGAAAGAGAGAGAGAGAGAGAGAGAGAGAGAGAGAGAGAGAGAGAGGGTGGTGAACTCCTACAACGACAAAAATAAAATGAAATAAATAAAAATAAAATAAATTGGTAAACTTAGCTATAACAAATAGGAAATAATTAAATATTAAAGGTATGTACATAGAATGGTAGATGATATATGAAGATAGAGATTGGTACTTCTTGAATTTTGGTTTTTTTAATGAACTAATCCAATTTTTTTAATTACACGTTTCTGGGCGTAAATTTTCCTCAAGAGAGTTAGATAGATAGAATATAGATAGATATAGAGAGTGAGTTAGTGACATAGTGAGACAGAGCAAAATAAGGAGAGGGAGAGAGAGAGAGAGGAAGAAAGGAAGGGCGGTTGAGAGTGTAAGAAAGTGGGAGAGAGAGGGAGAGAGAGAGAAAGAGAGAGAGAGAGAGAGAAGAGTGTGAGAAAGTGAGATAGTGAGAAAGAGCAGAATGAGACAAAGGGAGGAAGAGAGAGAGGGGGGGAGAGAGAGGAGAAAAGAAGAAAAGACACAAACCAACACACGCTCACAAACAAATGTAGAGCGAAAGAGCTAGAGTGAAAAAGTGGGAGTGAGTGAGTGAAAGAAAGAGTGAAAGAGAGGGTGAGTGAAGAAACCCGAAAGAAAAAAAAGAAAAAAGAGAGAGAGAGAGAGAGAGAGAGAGAGAGAGAGAGAGAGTGTGTGAGTTAACAATTTGTTCAAATTGTTGGCCAAAATTCGAATATGTTTCACAGTAAAAATTGGCTATAATAATTAAATCTCACTTTGGCAAAATAAAATTTGACTCTTATTACCCCGTTTGTTTAATTATTATTAAGTTGTCATAATGTTTTGTTAATTTGTAATTACTTTGCTGTAATATTCAATTTTCGAGCCATTAATATACGGAAAGGTGAAACGAAATAAAGCCCAATTAGCATCTCAATGTTTTATAAGATGGAGGTGTTATTAGCGTGCTGGTGTGCGGAGGTTGGCTGTCAAGTTTAAAGAATACATTTATTATTATTATTTATCATTTTATTCTTAATTATACATATACTCAATTAATTATACAGGATTTTTTCGAAATGAATAATTAATTGAGAATATATTTCTCTAAGACTACTCAGGAAGGCCGGCAAGAGTGGAATCTGAAAACACTCCTATTGGCCCTTTGGGTGGAATTCGGCCCAAAAGTTGTGCAAGGCTCTTTTCTTTGGTTGAATGCTGAAACTGCCGATTCGGTCGAACGGTGTTCCTAAATCGTCCAAATAATGGATCGGCCCGTCGGGATCGGAGTTGAAAATGATTGGCAAGTCCTTCATGACAACGCAAGGACTCATATTTATGAGGTGACGCGGCTAAAATTCCTCCACTTGGGCTGGCACGTGCTACATCCATCCGATTCGCCCTCACATCGCCTTCGGACTAACGTCTGTGCACATTTGCAATGGTTATTTAATCGAAAAAATATCGGATCAAAGAAAGAATTGTATTTTTTAAAGGAACATCTATGAAAAAATGTATTAAAGAATTTAAAAATTAAGCTCAATAAAAAAGAGATTTTCAGTGGGTTAATTTGAACTTAAAATAGCATCTTTCACAACGAATTTTTTAATTTCGCCATTTAATTTTAAAGTTTCTAACCCTGTGCCTTAATTTAAAGACCCGTTATTTGATTTTTTTTACCTTTTGTTCCAATTTCTTGTTTTCATCGTTGGCGACTGGTATGTGGAAGCCGTCTGCCCATCCCAGCTCCTTAAGAACTTCCTTGACGTTTCTGGGCATCGTCCTTCGGTCGCTTCAAAACCAAAATGAATTAAACATGGAGTGAAGAAACAATTCCCTACTGTGCTCGGAACGAGTCATATTTTGTTTATAAGGCACCATAGAAACAGCTGATTAGAAAGCTCTTGGAGTATATTGATTTTCCTTTCAGTTACTTGCTGGCTCGTTTCAAGAAAACGAAAATTTCTCGATGACTGAATTTTAATCTTCGCTCAAGAGGAGCGGATTGGACGAAATTTAGCGTGGCTTTTTGAAAGACGGACGAGTTAAATTTCTTATTTTTAACCCCCATAAGTATCCTATGTATGAATGAAGTTAAGAATAGTTGCATAACGATAAAACACATAAAACGGAAGTACAACTATAAATCAACAGGAATTTAAATGTCTTTTGCTAATCCTGGATTTAGGAACTTAGTTTTATTCTATAATATAAAATTATAGACCATTTGACAAGTCTTACTGCAAGGAGTTAAGCTAGGCTTTGGATGACTTTACTTCCTGTCAAAAAATTGTCGGTTCGAAAAGACAAAAAGAGCCAAAGAAAGCAAAGGACCTAGAAAATTTTTCATGCAAAAGCATTTGTTCAATTCCATCTGTAAATTTAAAAAAAGTAAATATACAATTAAATTACTACTACAAAGATTTAGAAAATGGGACTTTCAAGGACTTCATACTTACACTAACACTGACTTAATAACGAAATTTCTTTTTCTAATCTATACTTCACGGTATCGTTGGATATGAAAAAAAAATCTTTGCTGAAGTCAAATATATATCAAAACTGCAAGTTTTATTACAAGCAATTATCAGTTTTCTTTATCCAATTGACATTCTAATACACAATAATAAAATCAAATTCTTAACAGACTTAACTAAGGGGGCGAATAAGTTCTTTACAAAAGTTGGTAGAAGTGTATGTATTAGAAAGAGAGATAGATAGATTAGGTAGTTAGAGAAAGAGAGAAAGAGAGAGAGAGAGCGAGCGAGAGAGAGAGAGAGAGANAGAGAGAGAGAGTGAGAGTAAAAGAGAGGAGTGAGAGAGAGAGAGAAAGAGAGAGAGAGTGAGATACTGAGAAACAGCAGAGAGAGAAATTTTTTAATCTCAATCTTTTATCATCTTTCATAGCAAAAATCTCATTGATGGTGGACGCATTCTATAACCTCGAAACAACGATTGTAGACGGACCAAGTAACTGCAGTTCAAACTCTAGTGCTATGATTGTTTCTTTATTCAACACAGAACGTAACACTTTGTCAGGTGTTAAATAAACGTTTGGTTCTTGTTTCTGCTTTCTATTTTCTCTAATTTTATAACACCTTTTGCATTTAGACAGGATGATCCGATTCGACAGTAAAACCTCCCAGAGGTCTTCACGATATTTTTCGTTTCGTACTGTTTACTGTGTAGGTTTTATACTTTATATTATGTCATTCACTTCGTGTCTTCTCATATATTATTTATAATCCATAAATCACTGTAATTTTATTGATAAGAGCTCTAACGTTCAACGTATAAAGGTTTGGATTAAAAAAAATTCTGTCAATGATAAAAACAAAGTGATAAATAGTCCTCATGCAGGTACTTTGTGTTAACAATACAGCAACAACTCCTCTGGGGCTGTTCTTTTCGACCGAAATCATAAACAAGGAGGATTTATTCATGCTGGCTGCCTCGCCCACCCCTAGATGAGCGCGGCCGAGGGTGACCTCGATGTAATAAAACGAAAGGACCGCTTCAAAACGAAAATAAAATGATTGTGGGAGGGTGTTCGTTGGATTGCAGCGCTACCTACGAGACCTCGGTCTTCTCAATGAGGAAGGACGAACGCACACACCCAGCCACAAATATAAAATCGCACTTTTACTATTAGTCTTCGCCTTTTTTTTTTCTAGAAAAAGGGGGAATATATTAGACTTTATTCATTACTACGAAAATAAACAACCACTTTTACCTCTGAAATTTTGTACACATATTCCAATATTTCACTCTTCAACAAAATGAAGGCGTAGCCTAATAAAGTTGCGTACACATGAATAATAATAAGCACAAAAGAATTTTTTCATGGTGATTTTAAATTAAAGAATATGCTCTACAATAGTACGAGAAAAATTCCAAACGTGGGTGAATTCTGTTAACAATTAAATTGCTATTATGTGGGGTGTTTTTTTGCTTTGTAAATAAAAAAATACATTAATAAAATACTGTTTTTCATAAATCCAAATGGTGTAAATGATCTGGAGTCAAGTTAAAAAGAGCCCTTTATACAAATTGTTTCAATCTCGTTCATCGACTGGCCGAAGCAGCGAGGACAAGCGGACCGGGATATGAGAAGCGTTCAATCTGATAGACAGAAAATGGTTTTCTGGGTTCGCAATTGGGTCGTCGTAAGCGAGCAGAACTCAACAAAATTAATTTTCCTGGATTTAAACAGCCTAGACAAAACACGTTATATCATTCCGAAAATTTAAACAGTTGCCCAATGGATTTGACTGATTATTAAATATAATCCATTTTATTTAGTGGTCTATTGGTCAAATTACTACTTTCAATTAATTAATCTTTTTATGTAAGGTTTATCGCTGAAATGATAAAGCTAGTGTCACGAGCGGGTTAGAACTCACGACCTTCGGCTCAACACGCCTCTGTTCGTACGACTTGTCATGTGTCATGTCTCAAATGGTTAGAATAGCGGCGTATTGAGCCGAAGGTTTTTGGTTCGAATCCCGCTTGTGACCCTAGCTTTTTTATCTTGTCATTTTTGTAAAAAACATAAAATATGCTAAATTAATGTTGATATTAAAGTGAATTGAATATGTTTGAAGTTGTTTGGGCCAATGGTCTGTGAAATTAATAACCTAGTTCTAGAATAATACAAAATTATACATTACATTATATTTTTTACATTTCAAGGAAAACTACTTAAATTTTGACTTTTGACTACTCTAACCATTTGAGACATGACACATGACAAGTCGTACGAACAGAGGCGTGTTGAGCCGAAGGTCGTGGGTTCGAATCCCGCTCGTGACACTAGCTTTTTCATTTCAACCAAAAACTTTACTTAAAAAGTTTAAATATAATTTTGTATTAATCAGTATATAAAATGAGTTACTCCTATCATTGAAAAAAAGTTTCCCTTCATTCTGTGAGTGGTTTTATTTAAAAATATTTTTAAAAAACAATCGTTTCAATTTTAAAATTACTGTGACCAACCTAACACACATGCCCTCTAAACCGTCTCATTCCATTTTCCTTATGTATTTCGACAGTTCCTCAGAGTACAGTTCGTTACATCTCACTCTGACCACCAGCGTCCAGAATAGCAAAAGCTTTGATGACACCGGTGAAGTCACTGGTAGAGACGATATTCCAACGGACGTTGGTCGACCGAAAATCCGGACTATGGACCAACCCAGAATCTTACGTGGAGCATGATGGAGTCAAACGATTTTCCTTGGGAATTCAACGATGAACGGTTTAAGCAAGGTGGAGGAGTTATATCCAGCACTGCAGGGAAGGCGACGCAATTTCATCTTCATCGAAGCGACGATTTAGTTATTTGTTTCTACCAACAATTTCCTTACCATTTGTATGTCCTATAGTTATGTGTATAAATTAATTTTTTTTTGTGAAGAGGGGAAGGTTTTGTCAGGTTTGGATTTGTGTATTACACAATGGGCCATGGGGGCTGTACTGGAGTTTATTGACGCTACAGTTGTAAAAGTCCACTGCACACAATTCGTGGAAATATGGTAGGAGAAGAAAGATATGGGTCGAGAATTAAAAGAAAGTTCCCCATTTTGATGTACCTAAAAGTAGATTCGGTGGTTAAGGATTCAGTGATTAATACATTTTCTGCAATAAATCTAAAAAAGCCACAAGGCGTTTCAATAAAAAATAAATGAGCATTACAGTTAAGTTTCGTTTAATAATTCAATAATCTAATTCTTAACATCTACATCTTCTTTCCTAATATCCCTGTGATATATACAATTAACTTTATTTTTACCTAGTCTCAACTGTTTGAACCATTTTTTTCTCATCAATGAAATAAGTTAACGGTCTGGCCTCACCCTACTTACAGTTATGACGTCGCGTTATTTATGACATATGACATGTTTGAAAGTGTTAGCTTGTTCTAGATGAACTTTTGACTCTCGTATTTATGTTAAACAGCAGCAAACTCCGTAATAAATGTTGCCTGGTCTATACACCGATTTGATGTGGTTATACCCTTCCTACCTTAAGCAATACTTTCTTAGTTCCTTGATCTATCAGATGGTATCCTTCCACTCCTTTCCCATATGACCTCATTTCCAGATACAGTCAAACTCGCTATAGCCCTTCTTACCCCATTAACACAAAACTACTGCTTTCTGTTGTCCTTATCCTCCAAGTGATTTCTTTTATCCAAAGCCTCCTTGGAATAGATCTCCATCCCTTACCAAACGACCCTAAACAATGGAGCAGTGCCGTATCTTTCCCTTTCGCAGCTCTAAATTATTGGAGATTTTTGACCATTTCAATTACTGCGAGAAGTTTCGAATGAATTTTTTGAATAGTCTTATGGCCTGAATCTTTGAAAATAGGTTGCATTCATAATTAATTACTCAAGGGGACTTGACTACCCAGATTAAAGCTTATTTTTGGTCCCGAGTTCGAATCCAGCGACCTTGCATTCGAACCCGACATACTTACAAATGGGCTTTTTTTCAAAAACACCGGCACTCCGAGGGTTCATATTACCTCGAAGTTGAAATACCCTTGTGTAAAAAACTTACGTTTCATTCAAGCTTTACTAATTTGAAAATTTCAAAGTGAAATCTCAAGTAATATGGCAGTGAGACAATTCTCCTTTGCATCGTTCGAGTTGGCCAAAGGCAAAATTTTAAGAAATGGAACGAGTTTACGTCTTGCTTATAACCCCAACATCTATTCAACATTTGCGAAATGTAATGTAAAACTTTTGTTGTAGTGCAAAGGTAAAAAAAAATTTTGTTGTGTGAGGAACACCTGAAAAAGAAAGCCAATTTGGTTGGTTCTTTTTCCAAAAAATTGATTCTTTCCTTCGGCCCAGTCAAAGGATTTGTACCACTTTATACACACAGATGA